ACTCCACCAATGTATAATCAAGGTTAAAAACCACTATTCCAGGTTAATTTCCTGGCCTCTCTGGTAGGAAACTCTGTTTTTGCTAGACTCTGTTTAGCCCTCTACTATAATACTCATCATACTATCATAATTTTGTCTTAGCATGTCTGTCTTCACCACTGGAATATGAGCCTCCCAAAGACAGAAATAATGTTCAAATATAGAGGCTTTTGAATATTTGTTACATAGTGTATGTTAACAAACATACACACACACACACACACACACACACACACACACACACTGCTAAAACCAAAGTTTTGCAGAACAATACTGACTTTGTGACCATTACTTAAAGTGATGGACTCTGTTTTTTTCCTGTTCTATTCTATTAATTGTATTCCTTTTTTTTAAAAAAAGTGTTGATTGATACTCATTAAATTAATTACACAACCCAGTACTTTGTCTGAACTGTATTTGAAAAGCACCTCTCTTAGGGCCTTCATGATGGGATTGGTTCTCTTTTAAGAAGAGAAATAGTCACCAGAGCTCTTCATCTCTGTCATATGAGGACACAGAGAGAAGGCAGCTGTCTGCAAGTCAAGAAGAAGGCCATCGTCAGAACCTGACTATGCTCGTGTCCTGGTCTTAGACTCCTAGCCTCCAGAACTGTGAGAAATAAATTTCTGTTATGTAAGCCCCTTCCCTCCCAAGAAAAAAGAAAAGAAAGAAAATCGCCTCTCCAAATATGTTTATATCACTAGCCCTAACACCATGACATGTAGCAGGTGTTTAGTAAAGATTTTCTGAATTAATAAAAGCTCTCAGGAAAATAATATATATATATATATATATATATATATATGTTTTTTTTACATATCCAGAGCAGTAGACAGTCATTACCAGGCTAAAGAAAAATATCATGAGTGACTTTTACATTCTTTAGACAACAATCAAAATCGATGAAAAAATACATATAAAACTCAATTCAAATTAAAGCAACAGAAAGGAATGCATTGAAAGTTTCCTTTCCTTAGAATTGCGAATACTTAAATCACCTCTCTATTCTGAGATGTCCCAAGAAATATGATACTTCAATTTATTCAAGAAACTAATTGTTCTTCTAAGGTTGCATTCTTTCTCCTTCCTTTGGTAGTAAACATTGAAGAAGCTATTTCCATAATTTCAATAATGTATTAGAGATCAAAGGTATCTTCTTTTGCAGGTATACTCATACATACAATTCAAAGTTCATCAAACTTGTCTCTCTGGAAATGTTTTATTTAACAGAAGAGAATTTTTGCAATTGGGGGGTTGAGAGGAGACATGGGTAAAATCATATGAGATTAGAAAAATTGAAAGATATGGTGTGAGACATGACCTGGATCACAGATGGAAGAATCTCAAATAATAACTGCTCCTTAATTTCTTTTACTGAAAAAAATATATTAATTATACCACCTTTATGACCATCTCTTCCCACCACATATCCACACCCACACATGTTCTTTACAAGCTGGTATCACAATGATCTCTCAGGAGTGCTTAGAGAACCACTTAATATTTGTGAAACTCTTGTGAAATATTTGCAAAGATGTAGAGTCTTCCCATTTTCAGTTAGTCACTCAGGGTTTGATGTTAGAACTTTAAACCATGAATGGCTTTGTCAATTCTTTTAGGCTCAAAGCAAAAAATGTTTTGAACAGAGACATAATTTGATTCAATTATGAATATAGTTAATCATTTAAAAGATAAATTTGCAATTTAAAAATCCCCAACTTTCACCCTTCAGGGCTCTATATTGTGTTCTATAAAAATACATTGGCTTAAAAATTCCAGTTAGATTATCAGAAATAATAATATTTATAAGAAAAATCTCCTCATCCTGAAGTGTAAGGACAATTGTAATGTCCTTGATTTTAGTAAGAAAAGTAAATAACAATTTTTTCTAATATAGGAAAATTATAATATCTTTCAGAGTGGAATTAATCAGATTAATTCTATTCAGAAAGTATATGCTTCATATTACATGTATGCTTACAGAACCTGTGAATTATGATTACTGCTGGGAGAATTAAATATCCTATGAAGTGGCTGCTAAACAAAAGTGATACGTAGTCTAGCAAGAGCTGGAGTCTCCATATATAGAAAAACTGATTGACAGTCACAGAGAAAAACACATTTTGTGAAGGTTTTCAACCTCTCTCTCCATTCAGCAGCATTTGTAAAAAGTAAAACATCACTGCTTTTGGGTAGACAGATATATAGAAATCTGTTGGGAGAGCTGTTCCTTTGGCTAGGCATTTGGAGTTTCCTTTTTTTAATATATGAGAACTACGCTTGCTATGTAGCATGAATCAATGAACACAATTCTACC